ACACACACACAAGAGAGACGTCTACTTCAGCTCACACTACGTTCTCAAATGACGGCAATGTATGATGACTTTCAGTGTGTAGATGCAGGAGAAAGCTACTTTGAATATACAATGCTCAGATTGCTCATACATGGAACCATATTTTTTTTCCAGCATCAGTCCCGTTTTCCAGTTGCCGCACTGTGTACAAACATAAAATGCATCACATTTTTGAAAAGACCAAGCCGTAGATTTGGATTCCTGCCTACCTCCAACCACGGACTTCTTCATCAATGCCATTGGAAATCATTTCAGGAAACAGCTGAAGTGTTATACAGTAACGGACACGTTTATTGCAAACAAAGGAACTGAATTAGTGCTAGTGTCCTTGGTCTCCGAGAATGTTCAAGAACAAGGACAGATACAGCGATACGAGGACAGACAAAGGCGCTCCGGGGAGGGATTGACAATCCATTAAGGTCTCAGAAGGCAATGCCAAAAGTTTCATACTAAGACGTATTCCTCGGTTGTAAGAAATAACACTTCCAAAGAGCGTAAAAAGGTAAGAACAGTGCAATACTCCTCTTCCGGCCATGCTAAGGCGCTTAAGTTATACGCGGAGACATGAAAAGTCACAGAGACGCATCAGTTACGTCTACGGAAGAGATTTTCTTTTTCGGAAAAGAATTCTCTTCAGGTGTTAGAACTCACGAAAATTAAAACCACATTCAAGTCACTACAAGACTTGCTTTTACGCACAGCTCCGCGTCGTCTGAAAGCGCGTGTTCCCGCGGTTTTAACGTAAATAAATATTTTGAGGGGCGCATATTTTCTCAATACAGATCGCTTGAGCAATAAGGGACACGGATTTGCGACGCACGACTTGAAGAATACCGTGACAGCGTTCCACAATATCTTCAAGATGCCGACGACTTCTAGCAAGTACTTTGTGTAATAATAATGGTCACGTCGTGAACTGTCCTGCACTTCGCCGTCAGATGAGGCGATGTAATGAAACGCATGTCCGACATGACAGCACGATCTGCCATGTGTATAAATAAATAATCCGGGCTTTAAAGCACTGAAATTGAAATCCGGGGCCAAAGCACGGTAATCGATTATGTGTGCCGAGTGTTGTGAGTGGCACTGGACAAGTACTGGTGATTACACCATTAAAACGGACTTCGAACGAGAGCCCTGTTCGCAGTTTGTACGTTCCCATGGCGACCACAGGAGCTCACTTCAGTGAAGTCATACCTGTAACACCTCGTGATTTTCACGTACATGGGAAGACGGCGCCGTCATGAAACGTGATCTGATCGTCAAGTTAGACAGCATCATCGCAAATCATTAAGACGTCGCTTCTGTTTTGAGGCTTAAAATTGCGGTAATAATAATACAATTTCCGACAAGGATCGTTCAGCTATTATTTTTTTACCAACGTGCTGGAAAAGTCAGTACACAAAACGCAACACGCTCTGTTACACACATCATGTAATTCGGTGACATAATATCGAAAACGCCAGTCACTTGTTCCACGACGGCGTGTTCGGAGCCGCGCTCCATCCTACCTCGTCTGGCCCACTAAAGCAACTCACTCACTTTCTTTGCAGGTTTATATGATGATAAGAAACTGGATCAGTAGCACAAAGGAATATTTACTGGTCCGGAGCGTTCAATTAGTGTTTACGTGCTGAGTAGACGCCATGGTTCTTACAAGGCAAAGTAATATACACACTGTGGTCTAAATCAAACGACAAGCTGGCGTTAAGATCCACAATTAATCATTCAGAAGTATTTTGCAGCCTCCGCGCTACGTTTTCAGAAACAAATGAAGTGGGGAAGGCGATCTGCACTTCCAATGACATTAGTTCAACCGCAGATGAGAGGGAAGAAAGGGCTGGGGGTGGAGCAGCCATAACCAAAGTGACGACAATCACTCGAAGGACTGGCTGCCTGAAGTGACCGACAACTACGCAAGTGACAAGCGCCATTTCCTGTCCTGCCTCACCCTCTCAATGGACGCTTCTGATAATTGACTGTCAACATGGAAGGGAAAATACGTATCGTGTTCGCAAAAGAGCTACGAAATGGAGACGGTCAACTCATGTGCAGTCGGGGAAATAAAACAAAATTTCCACGCGGCAAACAACCTAACCTATAGCAAACGTCGTCAAATCACATACTTCAAGGCTCAGAAGGGCGTCACCCTCTAGTCGCACGGCACAGAGAGCACTGCGGTGCTGCGAGTTCTGAGCTGTCTTCACTCGCCTGGCTCCAGCGCCACGTGTCTTCCATCTCCCGTGCACTGGGCGATCAAAGTCAAGGCAGAGTGGGGAGAGCTCAAACATCTCTGTCCCGCAGGCATCGATTAAAGACTTCCAGTAACACGGTCCAAGTTTTGATTCGCGCTGTATGTTAGCAACAAAATGCCAGATGATCATAACAGTAATTTGGAACATTGTTTGATTTAGTACATATTTAAAAAAAATACGACAAAA